CTAGATCCTTAGTCCTATTCTAGCATGCGGTTCTACGAAAGCTGATAAACATAACATAAACTTGTATGGGTACTATGGGGAATACTTACTTGAGCTCGGCCGGTCGCGCACGTCACACACTTCGCTCTTTCTTAAGACTCTTTTCTAAATTTTAGAGAACATTTTCTTTTAGAAAATCTTTCAATCCCTCGATTTGAGTTCAGACACTCCCGAAGACGTGTCCGAATCCCTCAAACCAGGGCTCTGATACCAACTTGTAACGACCCAATTTTCACATCAAAATTTTTTTTGTTTAAAAACGTTACTTTAGAAAATATTAATAACTAAAACATCATTCGATCATCCATAATATAAACTGAACCATGTCTGAAAACCAAAACATACAACTAATCAGAATATCAGAGTATCAATCCCAGAAAAGCTCGTAAATGCGGAAACCGGAGAGTGTGTGTGTGACATGCTGCTACCGCGCCGGCTCCTTTCCCCTAGCTGAGGAGGTACCTGAAACCAAAACTGAAACCGTAAGCACAAAGCTTAGTGAGTTCCCCCATAATACCCCATACCATGCAAGCATATAACAAACAACATTCAATTAGGAGATACGGGCCACGCCCACACTCGTGAAGATACGGGCCCCGCCCACACTTCGCTTTCTGGGAGATACGGGCCTCGCCCACACTCGTGAAGATACGGGCCCTGCCCACACTTCGCTATCTGGGAGATACGGGCCTAGCCCACACTCCACTCTCGGAGAGATACGGGCCTTGCCCACACTCAACCGCCAACTCATATCATACAAGTATCGCACAGACAACAAGTGTAAATAATTCTATCATACTGGCATATATCATAATCAACTCAACTAAGAGATACGGGCTCGGCCCACACTCTAATACTAACGTCTCGTCTATACGGGCCGGCCTTGGTGCCTTAGACCCGTTACTACTGGAAGGAAACTCACCTCGAAATAGCTGCTGGTCTGTGTGGGAATTGATCACCTACTACTGCTGCTGCTGCTCCGGAAACTCCCCGGCTGTAATTCCCACAATATACTTAATCATACACTGCTAACTGTCCTTTGGGTAAAAAGACCATTTTACCCCTGGTCTAGCCCTAAGTCAAATCGGAGTCAACTTTTAGTTGACCCGACTCGCCGAGTGGATCTCCACTCGCCGAGTCCCTGTCCAGACAATTGTCCTGGGTCCCTGATTCTACTCGTCGAGTTAGGCTATGACTCGACGAGTTCATCTTCTAAACTGACATTCAACTCCTTCATCCTACTCGCCGAGTTGTATGAACAACTCGTCGAGTTCATCTTCATCCGAAGAACACTATGCTAAGACTCGCCGAGTTGTATGAACAACTCGCCGAGTCTGTTCTTGATCTATGAAGATTGCCTTGGACTCGCCGAGTCAGGGCATTGACTCGCCGAGTCCTAACATGGGTGAGTTCAGCTCCCAACTCACCGAGTCACCCCCTGTGACTCACGGCTCAACTCGATACATCATAAAGGGACCAATTCGGTGACTCGCGACCAGACTCGCCGAGTCACCTATACGACTCGCCGAGTCGCCGCCATGCATCCACCAAATACACCGATTTGCTCGATTTCAGTCCATGCCATTCATAGATCTGGACTTCTAGGACACAAATCACACGTAAAGTTTCCAACTTTACGTGTGGATATTCACCAATATGGATTTTAGGGCTCAAAATGCCTTAAAAGGGTAGATCTAGGGCTAACAAGCCACATGGGCCATAAAGCTAACAGATCTGAGCTCCTGGAGCTCAATCTTGCCTAGATCCAGAGGCCAAACATCTTATTACGACATATAATGCACATACAAGCTTGGGGATTTGACCAAGAAAGACCCAAATGAAGTTTTAAGCATAGAATCATGGGGAAAACGGGTTATACCTCAAAGGAACTGCTGGAAGAACACAATAGTTGCTTGGTTGGCTTTCCTTCTTCTGGATCTACTTCTTTCCTCCTTCAAAACCTTCAAAAACACCCACAAAAGTCTCAAACTCTCAAGGAACGGCTTAGGACGAGGTATACAGGGCTCTAAGGGTGAATGGGGGCTGGCTTGGGGCAGTTAAGTCGTTTAAATAGGGTGCAAACCCCTGAAACTTAGGGTTTCATCCAACAGCGGCGACTCGCCGAGTCCAGGATATGGACTCGCCGAGTCGCCAACTTAAAACGTGACCTGGGTCGCGTCTCTACCGGCGAGTCGGACCTATGACTCGCCGAGTCCAAGGCTAAAATAGGAAATGTTCGAATAAGATTGACATACCAGAAACCAGGTGCTACATGTGCACTGAATTTTTAAGGGTAGTATAGGAAAGTCTTTATTCTTTTGTCAGTCAGACCTTGTTAACCGAGTCATACACCTAAATTTTATAAATCAAACACTTTTAGCTGTAGTCAGCAAAAAATATCTGACTTGACTCGGTCAGATGCATATCAAACAGGGCCTAAGTGGATCCTACCTTACATTTCACACCACTTTATTACTATTACCTTTTACACTACTTTATTTACTTGTTCCTCGATGGTTTGTTGTATTTAAAGTTGTAAGTGAAGGTTGTTTTTAAAAGCTTTGAAACGAAATTAGTGTTAAAGCCTAAAGGAGCATGTAATCCAAGAATTGAAGTTGCATAGAATTAAAATTGCCAAATAAACCTTAATTCAATTATCCAAAGTACTAAAAACCTATTTGGGCCATAGCATCTGTTATTGGCATTTTGTTTCCTAGAAACGCCTTCTCTGAAGCTGGTCATTCAAAATCTTTCTTCCTCCTCCAAAGATATGGCAGCTTCGATCCTATTCTCAGTAGCTCTAATGGAAACAAAAACAAGTGTCTTTGAGGATTTAAAAAGGTAAATATGATAATTGGGAATTGGGTTTGGACTATTGAAGGGAAGGAAAGAAGATGTGTGGTTTAAGAGAACAAATCATGGTGTTTGATTGAGAATTTCATTGGGGAGTTTCAAAAGCTTGAAAGTAGTTTAGTTAAGAGGATTTTATGGAAAAAAAAATAGGAGGTTAATTGAGGTTTTGACAATCGATTTATTTATTTAAGAATACGTTAACAAGATACAGTCACCGATGGTAGGATTGAGGTTTAATATATAAATACAGATGGTAAATTCATTATTTAATAAAACTTAAAAAGATAAAATAAGATTTTATTTGTTTTGCCTGAGTCAAAATGTTTGGAGTCTACCGACCACATCTGCAGACCTTTGCAGTAGAATACGTAGAACAAGTGTATGCAATCTTAAACAAAAAGAATGTTTGTTTTTTAATGTCTACAAACTGCTAAAATAAACTAAAATATAAATGAGTTCATTTTAAAAAAAAATTAAAAAAAGGTTTCTGTACTTATATGACTTTATTATAGATAAAAACAAATCTAGATTAAATTTGATGTATTATTATATAAAAAGTTAAAATAAAATGATATGAATTAAGATAAAAAATCATTAAGTTTTAGTCACAAAGTTATGTTTAAATATTATAATTAGAGATCAAAGAATTTGACACACAAAAAGGATGTAAATAAACTTTGATTTTTAAAATGAAATTTTCAAAATTTTCATTTTACTTTTTTAATTAAATTAATTAAAAACTGGCCATAAGTATTTTTCCTAATAAATGATTGAGATTGCATAAAATAATGATTATAAAACTTGGTACAAAAAATATAAAACAATACTAAGATTTTTTTATATCTATATAAACAACTCCAACAACTAGTATTGTAATTAATGTTTATTATAAATTTATCACAAAGGTCATGCTTGTGTGATCGAACATTTTTTTTCTTGAACTATTTTAACTTTTTTTTTTTCAAATTGTTTACCATAGATAAAATTGGAATAAATCTAAGTTTTAAAAAAAATTAATAAAAAAACAAAGATGTATATGTTTTTTTAGACTAATAGATGTCCGAAGATGTTAGAAGACTATGATCCTTGTCTGCGTCAAGAAGAGGACGTGTATACATTTTTAGATCTGCAATCTTCAAAAGAACAAACAGTTTGCGTAAGCTAATGTCTTTGCGTTACTGACACAAGAGACAAAGAAAATCTACAGAAAAAAAACACTTAAATGTTCGTAAAAAAATAAAATAATAAAATAAAAACCAAACTAACAACAAAACATGATCATAGGGGTATTTTGTATAAAATTTGTTTTTAGGCTTAAACCTCAAAACTTTGACAAACACAAATACAAATTTGAAATTTCCTTTAAAATTTAAGTGAAGAAACAAAATTATTTTCATATCATCAACTATAATTATCTTGTCATTGATACGAATAAATAATAAGTACGATCCATAATTTCTTTTGGTCAATTTAATATAATTTTAGGTTTAAAAATCTTTGTACAATTGCCAAAAAGGTGTAATCACATTATCACATATCATATTTGTTCCTTTATTTTTACATTAATTTCCTCCTCATTTCCATCGTACAATTATTTACTTAACTCATCATCACATGGTATTCTGCTCGGACTTATTATAGGTGTCATATATCTCATTCTCATCTCCCTCTCTTTCTCCTCCATCAACAGGAGATGTGCGATTCCTCCTCTGAAACATCATGACCTCCATGATCAACCACCATTTATCCTTCAAAACCCTTCCATTTCTTCTTCTTCTCATTCTTCACCAATCTTTTGCACTCACAACCGATGGCATTCGTTTACTTTCTTTCAAATACTCTGTTTTAAACGATCCTTTAGGTGTTCTAGACACCTGGAGCTACACCGACGCCACTCCATGTTCATGGCATGGCGTCGTCTGTGAGAACACTTGTGTCACCGGAGTATCGCTTCCAGTTCGGGACTCACCGCCACCATTCCCGCCAATCTGGGTTCGATTCTACACCTTCGGGAAGTGAACTTATCGAACAATTCAATCAGTGGGTCTATTCCTTTGTCTTTGTACAATGCACCTGAACTCGAGACTCTTGATCTTTCAAACAACTTGATGTCCGGTGAGTTTGAGTTCGTCGGAGGGTGGCGGAGCTTACGCTATCTTAATATGTCTGGTAACTCGTTGACGGGAAAGCTGCCGCAGAATCTTGCAGCGCTTTCAAACTTAACGGTGGTTTCTTTGACTGGTAATCAGTTTTCCGGTGAACTTCCTTCCGGGTTTGAGTCTGTTGAAGTTTTGGATCTGTCAAAAACTCCATCACCGGTTCGTTACCGGAAAAGTTCGGTAGTGGTGATCTTGTTTACTTTAACATTTCACACAACAATCTTTCCGGCGAGATTCCGCCGGAATTCGCGAACAAAGTTCCAATAACTGCGACAATTGATTTGTCATTCAATAATCTCAAAGGAGCAATCCCCGAATCCGACATTCTCGTCAACCAAGACGAAGAATCATTCGCCGGAAACCCAGAGCTTTGCGGGAAGCCATTAAAAAACCTCTGCGAATCCTCCTCTTCATCAACCACCGGACCCAACTCCACAACATTCACTCCAGCTATCGCCGGAATCCCTCAATCGTTCCCCTCAACTCCTTCACACAATTCTTCAAATTCAAAAAGCCGATTCAAAACCAGCACGATCATCGGAATCGTCGTCGGAGACATCGCCATTGTCGCAGTTTTAGCCCTGGTTTTCATCTACATAATGAAAAAACGACGTGGGGCTCCATCAAATCGCCGTCCAGACGAAGCTAAAGCTTCAAACAGGGAATACGATTGGGGGTCATCAGAAGAAGAACACAAATGGCTACGTTCATGGGCATGTTTAATGAAGAGAAGAAACACCGGTGGAGAAGATGAAGAAGAAGAAGGAGACGAATCAAGCCAAAACTCAAGCTCGGAAAACTCCGACACCGAAAGTAGGCCACCGGAAACCATTAAACTCGACAATCCGGTAACTAAAGACGTAGAAAAGAGGGGATTAGTGACTGTTGATGGTGGTGAAAAGGAGCTTGAGCTTGAGACATTGTTGAAAGCTTCTGCATATATTCTTGGCACAACCGGTTCGAGTATAATCTACAAGGCGGTTTTGGAAGATGGAACCATGTTAGCGGTTCGTCGGATCGGTGAAAACGGGTTAGACCGGTTTAAGGATTTTGAGAACCAGGTTCGGGTTATAGCGAAGCTGGTCCATCCGAATCTGGTTCGGATCCGTGGGTTTTATTGGGCTGCGGATGAGAAGCTTGTAATCTACGATTACGTTCCCCATGGCAGCTTGGCTAATGCACGTTACAGTGAGTCATCTTTCTTCGATTTTTTTCGTTATGCGTATTTTAGCATTCCCAGGATGTGCATGTTAGCGTTTTCTATAGAGTCGCGACTTTTAATAAAACGTAACATAAACTTTAGTTACAAAGTAATCGGTCCAAAATAATTTACAGGTGGGAAAAATGATTATAAAGTAACTTTTTTTTTTTGGAAATGTATAAAGTAATATTAGAAAGTGAATTTTTAGTATGATTAAAAATGATGAGTTTAACGTTTTTTTTTTCTTTATTGTTTTTTGATTTCATTAATAATTGATATACTAGATAGCATTGTTAAGTATTTTTTCAAAAAACAATTATTTGATATTGTTAATTGTTAAAGACAGTTATTTGATTTTGTTAAATAAAATAATTTGAAGTTGCAGATACTCGAGGAAATTTTAAATGAGTTTTAGACTATTTTATAATATACATATATTTCAACCTATTTTCGTTATAGTTAAGTATTTTAATTATACGTATTTAAGTTGTGAATAATAGATAATTAAAATGGTATGTTTTCTTAGAAATACATTAAAATATGCCATCTTGTTTCTGAATATAGAATATTTACTTGCATTATTTTTACAAGCTTGGAATTTATTTAAGAGTATTTTAGGAAAAATTAATAGAGAACATAGATTCTTATCAGTGTAATCATTTTGAATTAGAATGAGATCCATTATTATATATTTCCTTTAATTACCTACCAATCTAAAATCAGCAAGCACATGCGCAATCTAGCTTTCCGACATAACTATCGCTAAACTGAGCTGTTGACGGGGGACCGATAGTGGAGTAGTTGTAACTGAACCCTTTGTTTTATTAACGTACCTCAAGTCAACTCTTACGTATCACTTAAATTTTGTCCTGTGGCGTATAATAGCAAAAAAGGTTTTGGAGTTGTCAATTATACAAATTACTGGGGGCCCAAATTTACAAAACCGGCAAACTTATTCAATTTATTTAAATTTTAACATGTATACTTCACTTACTCGTTTCATCAATAGTGTTGAGTCCATAGGATTTTTTAATTGAAGAATATATTAGATGTTTGGTAAGTAAATAAATAATTTAAATCAAATAGTATTATTTTCAAAAAAATCGAATGTTCATTGACATGCTTTATTGTCTTGTTCTTTTTGAAGAAAAAGTTGGATCATCGCCTTCTCCGCTACCATGGGAAGTGAGGCTCAAGATAGCAAAGGGCACGGCTCGTGGACTATTGTACATCCATGATAAGAAACAAGTACACGGAAATCTCAAGCCAAGTAACATTTTACTAGAATCTGATATGGAGCCCAAGATAGGAGATTTCGGGCTTGAAAGACTGTTAGCAGGTGATCAAAGTTACAAAGTAGGTGGATCAACTCGAAACTTTGGTAGCAAAAGGTCAAATACCTCTCGAGAAAGTTTCCCAGATATCGTGATGGGGTCAAACCCGAGCCCTAGCCCAAGTTCCATGGGGTGCATTTCACCATATTATGCCCCAGAGTCTCTAAGAAGCCTAAAACCTAGTCCAAAGTGGGACGTGTACTCGTATGGTGTGGTGTTGCTTGAACTTTTGACTGGGAAGGTTATTATATCAGATGAGTTTGGTCCGGCTAGCATGACGTGGAGCTCTACGCTGACAGTTGAAGAGAAGAAAAAGGTGTTACGGATGGTTGATGTGGCGATTCGTGCTGACTTGGAGGGTAAAGAGGATGCTTTGTTGGCACTACTAAGAGTGGCTTATGGATGTATATCACCTGTCCCACAAAAGAGACCACATATGAAAGAGGTGGTCCATGCTCTTGACAAGTTTCCTTCGGCTTCTTTTTCATATTATTAGGAAATGGGAAATTATATTATTAGGAAATGGGAAAATTGTAGAAATAGATATGTATTTATGGTTGGGAAAATAATAATTATATGTTTTTTTTTTTATATATAATGTTTATCTTCAAGTTATAACTTATTAATTGCTAGTTCGTTGTCATAAGAACATGAAATTAGAATTACAACACTGTGATTGCTAAAACTTAAACTCAATCTTGCAAAGAGAATTCGGAATTTGGGTCTACAGTAGGCCCTCTAGAGCGACGCCCCAAACTAGTGGTACATCATCACAACCTCTAAGTTATTTAGTGCAAAATGATTTGGTTGTTACTTTTTAAAATATCTTTTTATATCTTGTTCGTCTCGTTGAAATTAATATTTCAGTATCAAACGTTTGGAAGTGTTTGAAAACTTTTAGATTCTAGCGTTTGATAAAATGTTCTATTTTAAACAAAAAATCTAGTTCAACACTACAAACTTCTAGCATTTAGTCTAAACAAAACACTCCAAATTCAAATGTTAATTCATGTAGGGTTTAACAAAACACTACAAGCTACTCGTTACCAACTAATTTTTTTCGAACACACCCTTAGTGTACATGTATCATTTATAGCGGTATTTGTAAATCATATCTATTGATACATCTTATTTAATTTGACAAATGAGAATCAGTACAATTTAAGAAAATATGTCTGATTACATGATATCAGAGCTGTAATTTGTTTTTTTATTCTCTCTCTTCTATCATCCATCCTATATATGTCTCCTATATAAGCCCTTGTCCCCTTAATACGAAGAAACCCTACTTATTGTGGCCATCATGACAAAAAAAAAAAAAAAAACTTCCAAAAAACCTTTTAGAATAACGAACAGCACAACCTGCGTCCACTCGCGCTAAATTTAGACGAGCCCAACTGTGAGGTGTTGCATGAGCTTTTTAAAACACATTAGTTGAGTTTCGATGAGCTGGATCACCTCAGTGTCGTCGATCGTAGCAATCTTGATCAACAAATGATAAAACTCGACCCGTTGGTGAAGCTTTGAAGTTATCTATAATACCTACTTCAGAACATATTGAAGAATAGTGTTACCGCAAGAGATATTTTGAAGATTCTTGAGTATTTATTTTAGACAATGAAGATGCGTGATCAATGAAACTTGACAATGAGTTAAACACAAATTTAAATTGGCGATATTTCAATTACCGACTAATGTAAACACATTATAGTAATTTACGACCTACTCGCAAACATTGATGAACATGTTCCCAACAAGAACTTGGTAACGTACTTAATCAACAAACTAGGTGAGAAATACGAAAAATTGTAGGGATTATACATCACCGATCACCCATGCCTTCGTATCATCATGTGCATCGCATGACACTGCTTGAGGAATCTCTTCTCAACTGCATACTGTAACACCCTGATATTTTTCAAAAATTAAAATGCTTTGACTATAAAATCGTTTGCGAAATTAACATGCATTTAATAAAAACTCAGTCCCATAAAACATTTACATTTAAAGCATTAGGTGTTCCTATTAAGCATCAATACAACCATAGCATGCAAATATGAATTACATCAATATCATTAATAAGGAACTTGGCAAGCTTCATTCCATTCTCTACCTCTTAACTCTTAACTTCAATCTATCATCTCCACTCCTTAAGTACATCATGAGATACATAACATAAAAAAGATACGTAAGACAAAAATGCCTCGTGAGATATACGGGTTTGTAGCCCAAAATTTTTATCACATTTTCATCAAAAAAAACATTTCATTATGCAAAACATATTTCAAATAGACATTTTACCCTTATCAAATCAGAGTCTCATCTTGGAAAGCCAAATACGTACTAGGGAGCTTTCTGCTTTATTATTTTTCTTTATTTAAGACTCTTATGTCTGTCATCAATGGAATTGTAGACGCTTTCTATGGGGAGGTAATAACGAGAAGTCAAAGATTTTTTGGGTCCATTGGTAGGCGGTTCTTCCTAGCAAAGAAATCGGGGACTTAGGATTTGGTTCTTTGAAAAGCATTAACCTTGCTATGCTTTTTAAATGGATTTGGCAGCTTAAAACTAAGAGTTCTAGAGTTTGGCATAAGGCGATTTACAGTTTACAAAATGTGACAACCCGTAAATTCTTGTCAACAACCATTACTAGAGATTAGCATCAACAAATAATAACGGATAAAGTTTTTCATATTTCGGGAAAACATGATCAGATATACTACGAATTTTAAGTAAGAAAAATGTTAGAAGAATAAAAAAATGAGTGTCCAAAAAGTTATATCGCTATTAATAATGGTCAGTGTACTTGTAAAGTGCACAACAAAGTGGTCCCAAGGATATAAACTTTGTAAAACTTTGACTCCGATCGGAGGAGTTATGATTTTATTAAAATTAAAAATCAACTGAATTAATAATGTTATTAATGTCAAAATGATATAAGGAAATCGGTTGAGTTTTGACTAACGTCACTAAAAGGAAAGTCGTAGTACCCTGATAGATAAGAACTTTAAAAGAAAAAAGGTCAAAAACACAGTCCGTATAAAAAAGATACAATTTTCAGAAAAATATAAAATACGAGTTAAAAATAAAATTTAGAATTTGGCAACACAACCTTAAGGAAAGTTGTAGTACTAGTAGAGAGCTATAAAAATACATAAAGAGGGTAAGAAACAATATTCATATAAGGAAGATATGAATTTTTATAAAAGATTAGAGTTGCACGCTAAGTGCGGGCTATGCTCGATGCGCACGTCTGACACCTAGATTCGTTGAGATTTGAGAGACGTGGATCATCAGAAGAGTGACACGTGTCAAGCCTTGGATGGAGGCACGAGTCGAGTGCATGACGCACACAAAGTGCGCCGTGCACATAAGCACTATAAATAGTGGTGCTCACTTTCTGAATTCTTCATACCCAAATCTCTCTCTCTCTCTCTCTCTATATATATATATATATATATATATATATATATATATATATATATATCAAAAACACTCCTAATGGTGCGGCACTTCAGATGCAATAGCAAGAATATCCCCGATTTTGCTACTAAAGTGGGTTCACAGCCCCATTTCACTATTTTAAAGGTTTTATGGCGGGAATGCATGCTTATCAAACTGCTATATCAAAATATATTTATATCTATAAATATCAATAGTTATATAAATAATGAAACCTAAGCTTAATGCGTTATATAAGATAATTATGAGATTTATAAATTTTAAATTATCAAATATGAAGTAAAAGATTTAGATTGTGATAGTTATAGGAAATCACTAAGTAAGAAAGATAAAAGATAAAATACCTAAGCTTAATGCATTAGTAAGTTGTTATTATTCTTCCTTAGCCTGTGTTTGGGTACCCCAAACCTATAATCGTTAATCTCGTGAGAGCCAGAAAGATATGTGTAGATCTATATGGGGTTTGACACCCTCATCTGTGATTGCTAGTTACAATCCCGACATGATCACTTTCTTTATTATACAAGCAATATTCGACGTCTAATGATGCATGTACGGGGAAATTGTTAGTCTAGATCGTCGGTGATGGGGCTCATGGTAATACATCCCAACAACCTTAGAGATCTGACTACCTAGAGGGACGCCTTCAAGTAGTTAATAAAATAATGTAGGGTTAATTAGATATCCTAAGATATAAAGATATTAAGATAGGATTGTTAAAATATCCTATAGAGATATCAAGATTGGATTAATAGAATATCCTAAAAAGAATAGAGAACATGAAAATTCAAAGTATTCGAAGGACTTATAAGTTACAAGATACAAGGAAATTTTGGAAAAGATCATATAGTAAAGTATGGGGAATTAGGAATATAAGTAAAATGATCATAATCATTGTAAAATTTCCTAAAAAGTTTTCAAAAGAGTTTATTATATGTTTATCTAAAAACCTGTGAATTCACCAACATCAAGTTGAAGTTTTCAAAACCGCATGTGTTCCTAGGATAGAGTAATGATTAACGCAAGGAAGGACAATCCATTTGAAGATAGATAGGTTTCATTTACTCCATGTAATAGACATTATTGATTTATAAAAAGGTAGTTATTGTTTGTACTCTATGATTTGGATAATCTGTTTAACTAACGTCATAACTCGGCGTTGCGGCCAATGGCTGGGCAAGGTGTGACTGAATGGTATCAGAGCTACTTGCTATAGTGAAGTAGTACTTCTTTAGGAATTATGACTATCTTTTAGGACATATACTCCGATAAGGTTTTTCCTAAAACCTATAAATGAAAGTATTAATATTAATTACCCTACTGATAGACTACTTATGGGAGAGGTGGCTAGTTTAAACTGTCACTTGGGTTGCTGGATTTCAAAACGACTATATGCTAAAATGATCTTTCCCTTTGATACTTTTCATCTAGCCAATGCTTATTTGATAGTCTAGAAGTACAAAAGAATAATCATCGCCAATCCTGAAGAATTATACAAATCAAGAACGCAATATATATATATATATATATATATATATATATATATATATATATATATATATATAAGTTAATTATCTAGGATAATTCAATATGTAGAGGTTGAGTCAAAACTAAACGTAGTCTGATCACTTATGTTTAGTCTTGACTGAACCAATACATCAACTAAAACTGGAATCGATAAATGATAAAATAGGAACCATACATACATATAAATTACAAATCAAAAGCATAAACATAAATAAGTGTATCAAAAGATATCCTACAAAATAAGTTTCAAAATACAAATCAAACGCATCAACCCTCCCACCTACTCATCAATGCTCTCGTACTCTCATTCCTCGTCCTTCGTGTCCTCCTTGCTATCATCGCTAGTATCTCCAGGATGTGTGCCTGAAGTACTAGCACCATCATGACCAACACCTATCAATTGAGCATGAAATGAAGCAATAGGACCTGCTTGCAGAAAAGGTGGATTGTCCATCCCAAGGTGCTGCCTCACCCCAGCAATCGAAGCCATAATCCAGTAATGCTCCTCCTATATAGCATCCAAATGCTGCAACACATCTCATAGATTCGGCTTCCGCTAATTAGGTTCGACATGCCTAGGTCTCTAATGCCTCTCGAAGGCAGGCTCAGGGATATGCTCCGACTCCACCTATCTAATCGGCTCCACATTAT